GAACAGCACAGGAGAGGAATATCCTGGATGAGATGGATTGATACAGTAACTAGGGCAATGGGGGTAGGTGTATTGGAGTAGGTGAGACTGGCTCAGGGCAGGGCCGGCTTCAGAGCTATTATAAATGGAATCACCACGAGTTGAAGGTGACTTGATGGCATGTAACAACAATAACAACAGCAACAAAAACTACAACAATTTGGGGTTAGCATGTAACTCCCTGTGGACTATGGCACCAAAGCTCCCTGGCTAGGGGCCAATCACAATATTCCTTATAAGTGGAAAAGAGAGGCAGAGAAGGAGTTAGAGTTAGAGGCTGACATGACAATGGAGGAAGGTCTGAGAGAGGCAATGCAAGAACTCTAGGTGCCATTTCTGGCTTTGAAGACACACGTCATGAACCAACAATGCAGGTGACCTCTAGAAACTGGAAAACATAAGGAAGCAGATTCTGCCTCCCTTTTCCAGATTCTCCTGAAGGAACACAGCCTTGATCTTAGTCTAGTGAGACACGTGTCAGACTTCTAACCAACAGAACTGCAAGATAATAAATATGTATTGTTTTAAGCCACTAAGTTTGTGACAATTTTTAATAGAACCCACAGAAAAAGAAAGTCTCTGTTTTAACATATTAAAGCCCGTCTTGATTTAGTTTTTGTTCATGTTGTGAAATATGTAGGCAGAACACCTAAAACTATCAAAATCATTAAAGAAAAAAATTGGGACAATTTTTAGAGTTAATCTGTGCTGGAGGCACATGGTTCAAATCCACCAGCTGCTCTGCAGGAGAAAGACGGCAGTCTCCTTCCGTGTGATTAACTGCCCCTGAAAACCCACTGGAGGGTCAGCTACGGGTCAGTTCTGACTCGACGGTAAACAACAACAACAACAATGTATGGCATAAATGGACCATAACCAAAAATGCACAGTCAGCAGAGAAGAAAACTGGACAGTTAGGGAGTGCTGGTGGCTTAGTGGTAAGGAACTGTGCTGGCAACATAAAGGTTGAATCAACACAGCTTGAATCTACCAATTGCTTCGCAAGAGAAAGATGGGAAATCTCCTGTCATGTAATTTACTACCCCTGAAACTCACTGGAGGATCAACTATGGGTCAGTTCTGACTCAGTGACACACAACAGCAATATATGGTATAAACGGACTATCAAATATAACCAAAAAACCCTACCCAGAACACACAATCAGCAGAGGATAAACTAGACAACTGGCGAATTCTAAAAATGAAACCCTTATCCAGCTTATCCTCTACTGAGTGTACATTTTTTGGTTATCTTTGATAGTCCATTTATGCCATGTATTGTTGTCATGTATCAGTAAGGGGTGACCACAGAGTATCACTAAGGAAAGAGAAGACACCAAGAATAGAAGGCATAATGGCAATCAGAATTACAAGGGAGAAGTGGAAAAATTCAATTTTATTATAGGAATTGAAATAAACATTTTAGGGGAAAAATTGTTTGCATGGTTGAGCGAAAAATGAATTTGTTTTGTGACTTTCACTCAAACTACAATTTTTTAAAAAAATTAAAGCCCAGCTTTGCTAGTAGCCATGGTCAACCCCATGGGAGAGGAAGTTGGAGAGTGGGGAACACAAGAGGCGAGGAGGCATTGTGAGGATCCCCTGTTGTCTTCTGGGGGGTCCCCTTACTGCCACTTCCTGGCCATAGTTTGTGCATGGGTGTGCCTGGGACACCCTGTCCCCTGGGTAGAGGAAGCAATTCCACCACAGACTCCAAGTCTAAAGGGAATGCGGCACACCATCTGGACCTCTTGCACAGGCAAAGTGTTATTTTGATCCTAAATTTGAGGAGATGAGGCTCAGAGAGGATGATGCCCAAGAGTCTTATCCACTGTCATGTAGCTCCTGAGAGAAGAACCTCAAGACCAGGCTTGTGGCTCCTGACTGGACTCCAGATGTGGGGCTCTTTGCAATTTGTCATGCTGGACATATACCTTTTCCTTCTCTGAATGGGTCGTGCAAGTGAGCTCTGGCAGCCTCCATCTGGTGACATACTTCACACAGGTACAACACTGAATGGCCTATAGTCCCCACGTGTTGTGGCCTTGGCATCTTGGCATGTGATGTCTTCATTGGGCAGGGGATCACTGCATACTCCAAACCAACTTGTCACAAGAACACAAAACCAAACCCATTGTTGTTGAGTTGACTCTGACTCTGTCCTCTATTGGGTTTCTGACTCTGCAAATCATTATAGGAGACTGCCCAGCTTTCTTTTATGAAGTGGTTGATAGATTAGAACTGCTGACCTTTTGGTTAACACCCCTACATTTTATGCACTGTGCCACCACAGCTCCCATTATGCCATGAGGATTATAGAAGGCACCTTATTATATTGAAAGGGTAGGGGCTCTGCAATCAGACACCTACAAGTTCGAGTCCCAGCTCTGCCTACCACCAGCTGTCTGAAATCAGGTCTCATTATTTTGGTTGTGTTGAGGCTCAATTTGTTCACCTGTAAAATAGGGATAATGAAAACTATGTAACAAAATTAATATGAGAATTAAGTGAGCAGAAGGCTGAAAGCGTCTGGCTTTTGATTAGCTGTTCATCAGTGTGTGTAATCAGTGCCTATTCATTTCATGGACTGTATACATTGGTGTTGGAATCAGAAGAGTCCTGATGCTGAGCTGCTGGTGGGGACAGTCCTGTAACTGTGTGTAATCTACGTGACCCTTGTTGGTTATGATTTGGGAATGACTGATGCCGTTTGAGGACTAAATGCACCTGATTCAGGCCATGGTCTTTTAAACCACTTATACATCTGAGAGCTGGACAATGAATAAGGATGACAGAAGAAGAATTAATGCCTTTGAGCTGTAGTGTTAGAGAAATGGACTGAATATCCCATGGACAACCAAAAGAATAAAAAGATGTGTCTTGGAGAAGGTACAGATAGAATGCTCTTTGAAAGCCAGGGTGATGAAGCTTCACCTCACATACTTTGGGCATGTTGCTAGGACGGGTTATTCCTTGGAGAGGGACGTCATGTTTGAAAAGGCGGAGGGGTCTGTGGAAAAGAGAAAGATCTCCAACAAGATGGATTGCCACAGTGTCTATCATTCCTAGTCTTTTTCTGGCTGTCTGACACATAGCAAGTAATTGCAAAGACCATGGCCTGTATCAGGCACACCTTAGTCTCCAGACTGACATCGTTGCTCTTCAGTACTTTGGAGAGGTCTCTAATAGCAGACTTTTCCATCAAAATACGTCTTTTAATTTCCTGGCTGCTGGTGCCAAGAGTGTTGACTGTGGAGCCAAGCAAACTAAAGCTATTAACAATCTCAGTCTCTTCACCATCTATCATGATGCTGCCAAGTGCCTCAGTGGTGAGAATCTTTCTTTTCTTGATATTGAGCTTCAACCCATATTGAAGGCTGCAGACCTTGACCTTCTGCAGCAAGAGCTTCAGGTCTTCCTCGGTTTCGGCAAGCAGAGTTGTGTCGTCTGCATAATGCAGATTGTTGATGAATCTTCCTCCAATCCTGATGCCACACTTCTCATAGAGCCAAGCCTCCCAGGTAATCTGTTCTGCATATAGATTGAAAAGGATAGAGATAGGACATATCCCTGGCATACACTCTACCCAATTTTGAATCATGCAGTGTTTCCTTGCTCTGTTCTGATGACTACCTCCTGGTCCAAGTATAGGTTCCGCATTAGCACAATCAAGTGTTCTGGGATTCCCATTCTTCTCAGAGTCAGCCACAGTTTGTTGTGATCCACACAGTGAAACACTTTTGCATAATCAATGAAACACAGATAGACATTCTTCTGATACTCCCTGCTTTCAGCTAAGATCCATCTAACATCAGCTATAATGTCCCTGGTACCATGACCCCTTCTGAACCCAGTCTGCAGTTCTGGCAGCAGTTCTCTGTTGATGTGTTGTTCCAGTCATTTTTGGGTAATCTTCAGCACAATCTTGCTTGCATGCGATATTAATGATATTGTTCCATAAATTCCACACTCTGTTGGATCACCTTTCTTTGGAATGGAGCAAATATAGATCTCTTAAAGTCAGTTGGCCAAGTTTTCCTCCAGGATTTCTTGAAACAACTTGGTGAGCAAATGCAGGGCAGCTTCTGTTAGTTCAAGTATGTCATTTGGTATACTATCAATTCCTGGGGCTTTATTTTTTGCCAATTCTTTTAAAGCAGCTTGAACTTCTTCCTTCATTATCATAGGCTCCTGCTCATATGTTGTTTCATGAACTTCTTCTGTGTCTGCCAATTCCTTTTGGTTCAATGACTGTGTATACTCTTTCCATCTTCTTTTACTACTTCCTGAATCATATAATATTCTTCCCAAAGCATCCTTAAGTAGTGCAACTTTGGGTGACACACTAGTGGGTATGAATTTAGGAAGTTGTGTTTTCACTTAAAATAGAATATAGAGTGTACACCTTATCAAAAGATAAGTATTATTTCATAAAACCTTTGTTTTGTAGATATGTTTATATATTTGCATCTATCCTGTATCTATCACATGGGAGGAGATTGTCTGTCTTTCTTTCACAGAGCAGCTGGTGGATTAGAACCAGTTGCCTTTCAGTTGATGGTGCAGCTCTCTATTCACTAGGCTACCAGAGCTTCCTATTACCTGAGAACTTGAGTGGTGCAAAACATGTGCAAAGGCATGCAAAAGGCCCTTCAAACGCAGTGTCAAAGAAAGACTACTGATCTGCCTTTGAGAATCAGTAGGAGTGGAGCCCAGTTCTAGCCTGTCCTACGTGGGCTTGCCATGACTTGGAATAAAATCAGTCTAGTATTTGTTTTTGTAGCATCCCTCTAACTCTCTCCATCCAGCTGTTGTATTTTCTTTCCATTCACTTACCTACCCATCTACCCATGTATCTGTCAAATCTGTGGCTCTTTCCTAAACTATCAAGAATAGAGCCCTAAGTTCGGGGGGGGGTCTGGGGGGGGCTCAAGGGGAAGGCAAGAAAGACTCAATCATTTCCACAAGACCAGCTTTTAATATGACTGTGATTTGAAGCACGAATAAATAAATGCCAAAGAAAATGGAAAACCAAGATGAAAAGAAATCTCTGAACATCAAAACAGAAAGTCAGAAAACAAAACAAAAACGAAATCTCCAACAGACAAACAGAAGAAGCCCCCCAGATAAAAAGAATCAGACTGTACAGGCTGTTCACAGGGAGAGAGGGATGAGGTGGGGGCCGTGGGCATAAGTAGGTGTCACCCAGGCCATAGGGCAGGGTGGGTGCTGGGCATCTTTGAGGCCGAAGCTCCCTGGGCCAGCAGAGGGGAAGAGGGTTGTGGGCAGGGCCGTGGCCAGGCCCTCCTGGTTAAGAACCTTCACGAACTACACAAGGACGGGACAGATTAAAGAGTTTGCCGGTTTCCCCCCTTTGCTTGTGCAGTTTTCCAGCTGGGCCTGACAGTGACTTTGGGGCTGGAACCAGGTCCCTTCCGTTGTCACAGGCAGCAGAGCGAGAGCTGGAAACCACGTAGAGGAATGTCATGGACAGAGACAGACGTGGCGGTGGCGCCGTCAGAAGTCTGAGCATGCAAGCGCTTTATACATCTGGCAGTGAGATGTGATGGCAGGTTGGTTCGTGGACAGTTCCCGAGTGACGTGGCTCTCCTCGGAAGGACGCGGTGGCCCGAGGACGCATCATGTCGGACGTGGCTCTAGCGAGGTTTTGGCAGATAGTTTGCTATGTGTGCATAGGGCGCTCTTGCTTCTTTCTGTCTTCAGGGGCCATCCCACCTGAGCTTGCTGTCCCCTGTGTTGGGTCTTGGGCCTCAAGGTCTGTTTGGGGGAGCTGGGTTGTCTGAGGGCTGTCAGCAGGCAATCTCCTCCAAGGTCCCCAGGGCCGTCTGCAGGGGCACGTTCACAGTGTGGCTGATGGTTTCAGAGTGGTTTGGCATCGTGTCACAAGTGCTCTGGAGGGGGGAGGAGGGTGGGTCTTGGTCATTCATGCAACAAACATTCGAATGTCTGGGTGGCTCAGCCTACAGCAGTGAGGTGTGCTCCCCACCTTTGGGCTTTTCTGGGGCAATGACACTGAATCCATGGCTACTCAACTGCTTTTGGGGTGTCTCAGAGAGAGAATCAAGTCTCAAGTGAAGCATCTTGGGGCTTGGGAGCTTATAGGATATTGCAAGCTATGGCCATGTGAGTGACCAGGCCCATCCCTCCTGCCCTGGCCCCAGTATTTGGCTTCATATAGCTTGTCCAAGTCTGAGGCGTAAACCGGCCAACAGCCAAGTCACTCTTATCACGTTCAACAGCCAATGAGTCACTCTTACCACATTCTCATCATGGCTCCCTTCATCTTCCTCTTTGCCCAGCAGGTCTAATAGCTTCTCTTTGATCAGCTGCAAGGAAGGTGAGAAGGCATTGGTCAGGCAGATCAGGACAAAGGTCAGGGGGCTGGGCAGGGGGGCTTCCCTCCACTGGGCTTGGCTGGGGCCCCAGAGAAGCAGCACCTACTCAAGAGGCGGGGAAACGTCACCAAGAGCCCAGCCTGGCAGGGAGCTCTGGAAGCCAGTGTGTCCAATGTATCAACTGAGATGAAATTTGATGCAGGAGGTGTGCTTGGAAGAGGCAATGAGAGAATGCATTCTTGCAGCTTGGTCTGACTGTCTTAGGGATCGAGAGTGTTAGATGAGCAGTAGGTGTTTGTGGCCTGGCTCTTTGTCTGTCCTTGGGAGCAGCCTGGGACCCTCTTGCTGTGGCTGAGATTGGGGGACCAGATTGCTATTCACTAACCAAACCTGCCAACTCAACGGCTCACCGGTTCAGGCCACATGTGAATCCAGAACATTTTATTCTTCCCAATAAAGGGTAGGAATTAAATATACTACCTGGTGTGATTCACTTTCCATAACTTTGGACAGCTTTTCACAAAAAAATTAGTATATAAAACGGAATAAAATCTGGACGTGGGGCCTCATCTGGGTATGAGGAGTCACCTGCTGAGAGGCAGCTAGTAGGGCTCAGTGGGCACCCAGCTGCAAGGGCCCTATGGCCACTAGAGGGAGCGCCAGAAAGTCTGAGCCACAAACTGCCTATTTCTGGGAGGACATGGGGGTGAAGGGGATCAGGCATCTCAGTCACAGAGACCGAAGTCCCCAAGCAGCACTGGGCTGAGAGCAAAGCCTGGGAAGGACTCAGAAGTAGGATTTTATTTCCTGGTACAGGTCAACCCCTCCAACTCACTGTTGTTGAGGGGGGCAGCTGTGCTCGACAGGGGCTCTCTGTCCAGCCTGGCCTCTGTAGAGTGGTCCAGGGTCTACGCACTCTCTGTCTGGGTCTTGGGGAGATGCAGTGGGAGGAGTAGCCAGCACCAGGAACTCTCAGTGCCAGAAGCCTCAGTCTGTTGTTGGAGAAACTTTTCACAGCTTTGTTTCAGCTGCCTCGTAAGGAGACAAAGACACCGACTACAACATCAGAGGCAGCCACGGTGCCCTTGTCCTTCAGGATGGACAAGGATGGTTGCAAATGCCCCTTTCCTGAGCCCAACTGGAAATACACTTCTCATATGAAGGGCCGCGTGAGGGCAGGTATACGTGTGTGTCTGGACGTGCCTGGATGTGTGTGTTCCTCGTCGATCCTGGGTTGAAAAGGCTGACTTGCACCAGGAACTAAAGAGCCCTGCTGAGTCCATCCTTGGGACCTTTGTGGATTTTTGTTGATTTACGCTGGGCATATGGTTAGGAAGGGCCAGTCCTTGGAGAAGGACATCATGCTTGGAAAGGTGGAGATTCTGTGTAGGAGAGGAAGACCCTCAACAAGACGGATTGATCCAGTGACTGTGCCAAAGGGCTCAAGTATACTGGAGATGGTGAGGATGTTTCAGGACAGGACAATGTTCAGATCTCTTGTTCATTGGGTCACTGTGAGTGACAGTCGACCCGACAGCACATAACAACAACAACAACAACAGCGGGGCGGGGGGGCTTGTAATGTGTGCATGCATGCTCATGTGGAAAGTGTATGTGTATAGCAAGGAGTTGGAAACAATCTAAGTTCCCGCCAACAAATGAATGGACAGAGAAGCTGTGGTATATTCACACAGTGGAATACTATGCTGCATTGAAAAACAAGGAACTCATGCAATATTATTCAAAATGGGTGATCCTGGAGGACATTATGCTGGGTGAAGTATCTCAGTCACAAAAGGACAAATACCGCATAGTGCCACTGTTGTAAAACAGGACTGACATCGGGGTTGTTGGGAGACTGAGAAAAATGGGTTCATCAATGTATACTACATTGACACAGATGAAGGAGAAAACTGTTTAAAAGGGATATGTGATTAGTTATTATTGTCATGACAAGAGTCCAGAATCAAGAATGCATAGTGGAGCGGACCTGGGGGGAGGGATTGTAAAACAATGGGGGATCTTTTCTTTTGCTTTTCAAAGAGAAGAGTGTACTGGGGGGGGGTGGGGAGGTGGGCAGGGAGAAAAGTGCAACAATGAATGCATGGAAATCCAAAGTCTCTGTAAATTTTCATTAAAAAGTAATAATAATAAAGAAAACAAAAACAAGAAAGTGTGTGTGTGTAGTATTATGTGTGTTTGTGTGGCAGGTGTGTGTTTGTGCCATGTATTTGTGCCTGTTATGTGTGTATGCATACATGGTATGCATGTGCATGTATATGTTGTGTGTGCATGTGCTTGGTATCTATGTTTATGTGTGTGTGGTGTGTATGGAGCCCCATTTGCCTAGCTGTGGGAAGGGCTCAGAACTGCCTGTAGTCCTCCACTTGTCCCTTTCCCCACCAATATAGATAATCTCCAGCTCTTCAAGCACCTTGAGAATGGCGCTATGGCTTCATTTCTTTTCTATCCTTCCCACCCCCTTGGACCTGAGAGGCTGTGGTGGGCAACATTAACAGGCATGGAGGAGAAAGGAAGCTCTGAGGGGAGAGAGAGGCTGGAAGCTCCTCAGCTTTGGTGGGTCGAGGGCACCAACATTCCCCATCAACAACCCCAAAGCTTACCTCATAAATATAATCAAAGAGCTCTAGTATTGTAAGGATACTAGCACCAATAAACAATCCCATCTGACCACCAATATCACCTGGAGAGAGAGAGAAAGACCAAAGACTTGGTTTTACTCACGTGGCTTCCGGGAATTGGCACCCACACCAAAAGGAAAACGAGGCCTTCCCGTTGATTCGTGCTCCCATGGGAACCTGAGCCTGTAACCAGAAGCTACACTCCGTAACAAGTGCCCCCTTTACTGCACAACTCCAAGGAAGGGGTAGGGACTAATGTGAATGCATATTGGAGGAACTCAGGATAGACTTCATGGCCCTGGGCCAATGAGCTTGTCCAATTTCACAAACAGTACTGCACTTGCTGGACTCCTGCTTCCAGTCATGCTCCAGGCTGTCAGGAGACAGTGACGTTATGGTTTGTAGACAATGACGCTGTGGTCTGTAAACAGTGATGCTGTGATCTGTAGACAGTGATATCGTGGTGTATCGACAGTGATGTCATGTTCTGTAGACTGTGATGTTGTGGCCTGTAGAATGTGATGTCGTGGTCTGTAGACTGTGATGTTGTGGTCTGTGGTAGTAGAAGGACTGTGAGAAGATAGTGTGTGTGGCCCCTGCCCTAAGGGAGGGCACAGTCCAGTCCCAGAAATCTGTGCCAGGGGCCCAGGATGGAAGTTATGAGCAGTAGTATATGTCTCCTTAACCATGGCATGGCTTTTGACATTGGGATAAGGTCATATAAGGTATCCCCTAAGTTCCATTACCCAAAGGTAATGGAACTAATCTGTTATCTTCCTAGAGCAGAGCTTCTTACTCTAAGGTACAGAAATTGCTTTGGCCAATTTCTCTAGATAGGACTTCAGATAGTCTTGCATCTGTCATAATCACAAGGAAAGCTATAATCAGTGCTGTTGTCTGGACTTGCCTTGGGCTGACAATTTCTGGGCTTGAGTTCTGAAAATCAGATTTTATAAGTTTCTTAGGACCACCCGAGTCTGAGAACCACCTCCATGGGCTGTATGGGAGGACTGCAGTTGGCCAGAGACTCCCCGAGACAGAATACAAAAAGCTACACTTGAGCATTTGTGGTGAGAGAATCCAGAACTATTGTTAGATCCTCAAAGAAGGCTTGGCCTCTCAAAGGCTTAACAGGCTTAGCTCCTGACGTGGTGTGGTAGACGGCGGAGGGCTCTAAGGCTCTGCGTCTGGGCAATCCCTGATCTTCTCAGTAGCTCCGTCTTCAAAGGAGATTTGGTGGTAGGGATAAAAGGTTAGAGAAGGCAAATTGTGAAGTCCATTCGTACCAGTACTAGTCTCTAAAACATTAATCTTCTCATCTGGGCTGAAGAAATGAGTGAGAATAGAGGGCTTGGAGAGGCCAGATTCCACATTAACCTCTTGGTCTGAAACTTCCTGATGAGTTGTTCTTCCCCACCTCTCCACTGAGTATGCTTGGTGGATTCCAACAGCTACATGCCCCAGGTAGACCACTGAGATAGTGGGGAGGGTGCTCTTCCTGATGGGACTTGGGATGGGCTCAAAATGACCCCTATTGCTTTTATCCTAGTGCTCTCTCCAGTGTTTTTTACAGAGGATTTTAAAATATATATATTTATTATTATATATATTAAATATATATTTATTATGTATATTATTTAATATATATGTGTGTGTGCGTGCAATGTGGTTGAGCGTGCAGAAATAAGTGGTGGAGAGATATGTTAGGGTGCTAGGTGCATGGATAAGAATTTGTATATATGCAGGTAGTGTATCTGGCTTTATGTAGAGGGCTTCCTACATCTAGGTGAATGACACAAGTTTACTATGTGCAATGTATAAAAGTAGATTTGTGGACGTAGGTGTACTGTGTCTGATTGCGTAGAAGAGGTGTAAGCAGGTCTAGGTGGGTTTGTGTGCATAGGTGTGTATTTGGCACATGCACATCATGACCACGTTAGTGGGTGGGAGGCAGCGCGTAGGCCTGCTCTGTGCACATCTGCGTCTCTGTAGCTGTGTAGCTTGCATGTGGATCTGTGCAAGTGCACACTGCCATGTGTGGCTTTGTATTATATTGATGCACAGTCTTGCAGGTGAAATGTATGTGTGTACAGGGTGTGTGTGAGGGTGCTGTCTGTAGCACGTGTAACACGCACGTGTATTGACACTGGGAGGTGAGGGTGGGGCTGGGTGGTGGCATGAGAAGGGCCTTATGGCTGAGGGTTTGCATGTGGCGTGCTTGTCACAGGAGATACAGATGGCAGCATTATTTTCTCAGCAGGCTATTCTGGGTGGGAACAAGGTACTGGGAATCAGCTCATCCTCATATTTGATGCAGGGAGGAGCTATTCCTCCTGACAGATCCAGAGCTCCGGCCCTCTGCCCTCTGTGTTTGTGTGTGTGTGTGCGCACGCATGTGTGTGACTGTTAGCCCATGGAGGCATGTGTGTGTGTGTGTGTGTGTGACTATGAGCCCAGTCAGGAGGATGCATGTCCCGCGTCCTTCCTAAGAGCCAGCCAGCCGAACAGGGTGGATGCACTATGTCTCAGACTCATGCTTTCAGCTAGTGAGGAGGGTAGGGTCTTCACAGTCTTTGGCTGCCACGACCTCTGAGGCTGAGAGAGGGACAGAATGCCCAGCTGGTTCCTGGGTCTCTGACACGGTCACCACTCAGATGTCACAAATCACCATTTTTCAATCTCCCGTGGGCTAAGGCATTACCCTGTTAAGCCATTACTCCAAGTTCCTAAAGTGGCTTTATTAAACTCATGTTACAGAGACCCGAGGTGCGGGGAGGTGAAGCTGCCTGCCCATATTCTCACAGCTGGTAGGCAGCAGCCCTTGAATTCAAAGCAGCTCTTTCCTCTGTACCCTCAGGCAGAAGGCACTGGCTTCTTGCCTCCCTCATGCTGCTCAGCTCATGGAGACAACACAGCTATTTGCCCCCATAGCAATCTGATATTATACCTTTCCTTGAGAAGTCAGAGTTAGGACAGAGGTATATCTGCCGTCCACCCTTAGAGGTCTTGTGAGTCTTGTGCTACAGCAGGGTTAAAATGAACTCCCTGTGTCCACAGTGGGCAAGGGTGATCGGGCAGCCCGTGTGCAAGCAGTGGGGTTATGGAGCTAGTCTGCAGGGCACTGGTTCAGATGAGACTGCCAAGGCATAGAGGTCAGAGGAAACACTTGGGGAGAAGCTGTTTGAAGTGCTCCGAGATGGGCAGCCGCTCTCATTTTTCCAGTCCTGAATCAGGACAGTCACACACAGGTTTATGAACCACGCCTGTGCACCGAGAAGTTCAAGGTGTGTGGGAGTCGGAAGCCACATGTCTTAGGTTCACGCCCAGCACACTCCCAGCAGTCTGAGCTGTTTGGAAACATTACCAGGTGTTCGTGCACATCTGAGGAAACCAGCCCTCCTTTAGTGTTTGATCAAGGATTCTCAGTCCAGGGGTGACACTTGACTTTGCCAGGTGGGGCTCTACTACGGACCCTCATTGTGCCCATTACCTGGTGAACACCCTCACACAGTTCAGCATTCCCCCCACGAGACAGCATTTTCCTCCTTCTGCAGACCCAAGACTTTGACTCTGACCTGGTGGCAGAAGACCAAGTTCATGGACTCCAAGATGGCAGAACTCTGAGAAAGCTGTTAGGTACCCGACTCAGTGTATAGCCTGAAGCTCAGAATAGAGAATAACAGGCCTGAGAACTAGCTTGGAGTAGTGCAAAGAGAGAGGGAATAATTAGGAAATTAAAGGGTTAGACTCATCAGTAGGCTTACGTGTCTATCTGCCTGTCTGTCTTCCCACCTACTACTGCTCCCTCCCTCGCACCCCCATTGAGACGTGGAAATGTTTGCAATAGACACCCTGACTTACCAAGTAAGGCAGCAACTTCATACGCCTTCTTCTGTTCAATCGTTTCGTAATTGAGAGCTTCAAAAAATATATCCAGAACAAGAATGTTTTCTCTGCAGAAGGAATATTCAGTACCATAAATGGTTAGAGAATCCACAGGGGTCACCTGACATAGCCATGCTGCCAGGGGCAGATGGAGAAACGGAGGTCCAGGGCAGTGTGACACCAGCCCAAAGTGAAAGCTGGAGGCTGAAGTTCGGGCGCTCGCTCCACGACAGCAGGAATGTATCTATCAACTGCCTATTTCACCCTGCTTCCGGCCCTTGATCACGCACCATCCCTTCCCGAAATCCTGCCTGGACTTCAAGTCTTGGACCCCAAGCACACCTTCCTAGTCCATTAGCAAGAAGGTAGACAGAGTAATCTTCTGGCAAGATCTACCTTGGTCGGGGTGCATGCCCCAGGTCACCTCCGAGATTGCTCCTGCCCACTCCTGTTGTTTTTTGTGGTGGTGCGTGCCATTGAGCCAGACTGACTCATGCCGAACCTTCAGCAGGTTTTCAGAGACAGTAAATCGCACAGGAGGAGAGTGCCCATCTTTCTCGTGGACCAGCTGGTGGATTCTAACCATGTGCCTTTGGGATTGCAGTGCAGCTTCTTACCTTTAGGCCACCAGAGCTCCTTCTTGAGAGGCGCCCCCCCCCCCCCCCCCGGCCATTCCTTCAAGGATTGATAACAAGCTTCTCCTGGCTGGAGGCCCTTCCCTGGCATTGCCAAGACAATTGCCAGAGCCCTGGAGGTTTTTTGGGAGCAGATCCTCTCCACTGGGAGGGGCCTGGCAGACGCTCCTCCAATCCCTTTGCGCCTCTAGGTAGGTATGTTAATGAGACACATCTTGGCAGCAGAAGTCATTACCGCCTGCAGCATGCCTGCTAAGCAGTGGGGCCTGGCACCTCCTGCAATTTCCTCTTCTCCTTCGAGGCTCCTCACAACACCCACCGAAGCACCTTGTTCTTAAACTGCTGTGTAAAAGTTGTCCCGGAAGGGGGTTTGGCTAGTACGTGTTGGCAGGAGGGAGTGGTTGGGGAGTGGGGAGAAAATCTTCCATCCTCCCTGCAGGACTTCCTGAGGTGCCATTCAAAGTATCCCCATCTCTTGCCTGGTTTATGGCAATTGCCTCCTAACAGGCTCCTCTCTTCCCATCTGACTTCCCAAGCTTCGCTGATACAGCCGTCTGAAGGGTTTTCCCCAAACTGCTAAATCATTCCAATTAAATACAATTAAATTCCATTCCTCAGCCACCTGAGGTCCATTTCAAGCGCTCAGTACCCACAGGTGGCTTCGTGGTTTGAAGTGCAGTCAGCTCACAGCAATTGAACACCCAACAGGAGGAAGTGCTGCTTGGTCCTGATCAGACAAGGCTGCTTTGCTTCACAGTGATGCCACCGTCTGCTTTTCTGAAGCAAGTCACCAGGCCTTTCTTCCGCTTCCATCTTAGGGTAGAAGCTTCACTGAAACCTCTTCAGCATCTTAGTGACACACAATCTTTGCAGAAGGAGAGGTGGTGGTGCACACATGGAGTGTGTTAGCTGGGACTAGAACCCAGGTCTCCCACGTGGAAGGTGAGAATTCTACCACTGAACAACCAGTGAGCATCACCTCGGACTGTGTAGATCTAGACCAGTCCCATCCCTACGGAAAGGTCTACTGGAAAGTGCTGGTCTCAAATAAAAACTTGAGCCTGACACTTGTTAAAGTCCTTTGTTGTTGTTATTGTTAGTTACTGTCGAGTTGGAACTGACCCATGGCTGACCTTCCAGTGGGTTTTCAGAGGCTGTAAATTGCACAGGGAGAGACTGTGAACCTTTCTCCAGAGATTGCCAGTCTTCTTCTAGTGGAGAAACTGGTGGTTTCAAACCATGTGCCTTTGGGTTTACAGCACAACTCCTTACCCACTGGGCCACCAGAGCTCCTGAAAAAGCCCCTTCACAGCTTCTTACAGCTTCTTCACAGCCTATCACATGCCTTCGCCCAGTCTTATGTTCACCTCACCCAGCTTCGCCTTCTCTTGCCTGCCCTATTCTGGTTCGCTTTGTTGAACATCTGCCTGGACACTCTCCTTTCCCATTCTTTCATTCAATTATTCTGCTCCTCCCCAATTTTTTTTTTCTTAAATTATGTTTTGAGTAAAAGTTTACAGAGAAAATTAGTTTTCTACTAAAGAATTCATACAAATATGCACACTGAAATGACACCCTCTTTACTTTCTCCATGTATGTGTTCCTTACCCTCATGACTCAACTCTCAGCCAAACAATAAAACAACAACAACAGCAACAATTTGCTGCTGTAGAGTCAGTCCCAACCCTCGGGGCCTCTCCACTGAGTTCTGGAGACTTTGAACTTTAATGGGAGGAGGAGATGGTCATGTTCCTCAGGATGGATTCGAACCACAGACTGTTCAGTGAGCAGTCCAACATGTAACACACAGCACCACCAGAGCTTCTTAGGCAAAGAGCAGACAGGGTTAAACTGGGCTGTGTGATGGTTAATGTTGTGTGTCAACATGGTTATGGCCCTCAGGGTAATACAGCAATCCCATGTATTGTAAATTTTCACTTCTCTGATGTTGATGAGGCAGCTCTGTAAAGATAAGCTCCGCCTGAAGTATCCTCATAGTGATGCCTATATATATTTGTATGGACTCTCTGGCAAAGTTAGGGAGATGTTTTTCATATCCTGTATCAGGGAGCTCTGGTGGTTCAAATCCATTACTCTGTGGGAGGATAGGCAGTCTCCTCCCATTAAGATTCAGGGCCTTGGAAACTCAGTGGGAAAGGGTCACTATGATTCAGAATGGTCTTGACGGCCATGAATTTATTTGTTTATAATATTTATATCACTCAATATTTAGTGGTATACTTGTCTCCCCACAAGACCACATAAGTTATGTCCTGGTCATATGTCATATGTCATGGTCGTTATTGTCTTTGTAGTTTGAGTTGCTGAGCACTCAGCCTGGCCCTAGCAGGTGCTCAATGAATGCCTCCTCTTGTGATTTACAGTCTCTGAAAACCTGCTGGAAGGTCAACTGTGAGTCAGTTCTGACTCAAGAACACACAACAACAAACTGAAGGAAGAAGGACTTGGTGGCTCAGTCATAAGATTCTCCTTCCACATGGAAGATACAGGATCGATTTTTAGCCAATGGTCTTTGTGTGCAGCTGTCATGTTCAGCAGGTTTCAGTGTTGCTTCCAGACGGAGACAGACTAGGAAGAAAGGCCTGGCAACTGACTTCTGAAAAATCAGTCAACAAAACTTCTGTGAGTCTCAGTGGCCACAGTTTCAACTGACCAGGCAGGATTCTGTATCATTGTGCACAAGGTTACCAAGAATCAGAGGCTGACTGAAGGCAGTGAACCTGAACGACATTAAGTTATGGAACTAACTGGCCCCCTCCCCACCTGTCTCCACCACCCCACCTCCCCTCCACCACAGATCCTGGGTCTCTAATTCATTTTCCTCCTTCCCCCTGCCCACCAGGTCCATTCCGCTTACGAGATATATTTTTCCGATTTGTTAAATTTCTTCTCGAGGTACTTGGCTGACGTCTTGCTGGGGATCTTCACCATGGAGAGCTCTTTGTTGTAGCGGGTCAGGTTGCAGGGGGTCCTGCACAGACAGTAATTGCTGTCCTTTTCCGCTAGCAGACCTGGAGGGGGAGAGAGAGGCGGGGCTTAGTCAGGACTGACTGGGCGGAGACTCCTGGCCCGACTGGCTCAGAGGAGAGGGAGTCCGGAAGGAGCTTGCAGTGGGAGGGCAGGGAGGGTTGGGAGATTGAGGATAGGACCAGAGTAGGCTTTTGATGGTGGATCTGGAAGTGCGCTAATAAAATAGTGCTCACTATGTGTTAGTCTCCTACCCTTTAAGAATTGTTGAAAAGGTGCCACTTCTAGAGAATGAGCTCTGTGTGAATCTCCTCCTTCAGCTCTTCAGGGTTTTCTTTTCGGACCTCTTGACTCAGTGTTTCCACCCACGAAATGGGCTGTTCACCGCGACAAATTGGAACATTCTAGTGCCTGAAGTTCAGAGCTCCACAGTATTTCTTCTCAATCCCTTACATCCAGCCCAGAGTTCCCCTGGCGATTTGCTTAGACTGTGAACTAAGAGGCTCAGTTCCTTTCCCTGGAGGCACTGTCCGGAATCACAGCCCTCCTCTCTTCCACTTTAAGAGGAGTAGTTAACAAGAAGAGAGTTCTAGGGGCTTCGTGGTAAGGAGCTGCACTGCCAAGCCAAAGACAGCAGTTAAAGTCCACCAGTTGCTCCATGGGAGAAAGATGGGCATCTGATTTACAGGCTCTGAAAACCTACTGGAGAGCCAACTACAGACCCAGAGTGGGTTCTGACTCCACAGAAGACAAAAATCACAAAGTTAAAAATACAATCTCCCCCTTCCCTCTTTTTCTAAGTAGCACGGTGTTTCTGGTTGCCCTAGGTTGTTTGCTTTCTTTTTTTTTTTTTTTTAATTGTAGTAGGATTTTATTGAGACTTTACTCCAAAGAGAGACCAGGCTTTTGCCAGTATCTGCAGCAACCCCCTTCCTGGGCCAGGTCTTCCCTTCTCCAGCCTCCTGGAGACATCAGATACTGGGACCCAAATTCAGAGCTGTTCCCACGTGGTTTCTGTAACAGGCAGTTTTGAATATGAGTTTGCAGTGTCTTGTCTGTCAGCAGTTTCCCAGGTCTGGAGAGAGGTGGGGATGTGGAATGGGTCTAGCTTTGGGGCTGTGTTTGTTCTTGAGATTTCCTTCCCCTGCAGCTTTCTAGGAATGGGCTCCCACAGAGTTATTCCAACCCCAGCACCTCACCCTCACCAGGTTAGCATGAAGGAGGGGAGAGGGTGCACAATATATCTGTTTACACCTTTGGAATGCAGATGGGTCTCTACCTTCTTGAGTTAATGGGTCCTGGGGAAGGCAGGGCCTCTCAGGAGTGACCACAGCCTCCCTCTGTGAGCACCATGTAAAGGGCAAGTGGTGTTACCACATTTCTGGTGCCTACTTGGCTCACCATCGCTCATCTCTCTGTCCCTGCCCTCATCCCCCCATGCCTTAACATCTCTGTTGCCCCTAAAGTTCACTCCACTTCCACACACACCTCCTTTCTCTCTTCAGCCCGTATCCCAGGTTGAATCTTCCCCTTCTCCTCTCCTCTTCTCCACTTTCCTGCCTCACCTCCACTCTGTCCAGGCTCTTGCTCCTCTGTTTGTCCTCCCACCTGTCCTCTTTCCACACCCCCAGAGGGCCTTCATGTCTCAGTCTTAGCCAGCTTGCCTGCTGCCCCATGCCAAGCATGCGCCCATGCCAGGACTCACCTAGGGCAGGCTCTGCACACTCCTTGTGCTGTTCGGGGGTACAGAAAGGGGCATCTCCTGCAGAGAAGAAACAGGAGGGAAAAGGATTTCAGCAGAATCATGCATTCCAGCAATACTTTGCCTCCTTGGACTTGGGGATATGAGTACTCCCATCAGTAGGCATGGACAGTCTGCTAGTAGACACATCAGAAGGCAGTCATTGATCAGAATTGTGTAGGGAGCAGGGGAGGACAGGAGAGAACTTTGTTGTTGTTGGTAGGTGCCACTGAGTTGACTACAACTCTTAGCGATCCTAGGAGCAGCTGATCTGAACCCTGCCCTGTCCTGTGCCATCCTCATCATCTCTGACACACTTGAGCCCATTGGTACAGAAACTGTGTCAAACCATCATGTTGAGGATCTTCCTCTTTGACTCTTATTCTCCACCTTCTCCAAGGCTGGGCTCCTCCTAACCACATGCCCCCAACATGTGAGATGACGTTGCACCATCCTTGCCTCCAAGACGCACCCTAGTTTACTTTCTCCAAGACAGATCTGTTTATTCTCTTGGCAGTGTTGTTGTTGTTGTTAAGCGCCATCGAGTCATTGGTGACTCATAGTGACCCTTTGAACCAAAGTCCTCGACACTTGCATGACTTTCATCCTTTCTCCAGGTTCATAGGGTTTCTGGAGGCAAGCTATTTATGGAAGTGGATGCCGCTCCTGCTTCCAGGCTTGTTTTAATCAGGGAACTCCACCAAACACTGTCCACCATGGGTAACCATTATCGCATCTGACACTTCTAGGCTTCAGAGGCTGTGTGCATTCATCCAGCTGACACTGGGACTCTAGAGAGACACTCACCTTGATCCTTGGCAGTGTAGCTGGGTCAAAAGCTTAGGCTCTGACCTAGCTCTGCTCCTTGCTTGCTCTGCTTTTGGGCAGACCATTCACCTTCCTACTCAGGGGCTAACTACTAGGTTGCTGGGAAGTCGAAGGAGAGTTCACATATGTGAGGGATTGTCTTGACAACTCAGAGTTGGAGGTGGTGGTAAGCATCTACTGGGATGCATCACCTCTTTTCACTTACACAGGTCCCCTTTGAGGTAGGACATAGTGTCCTTATCTTTCCCAGGAGCAACTTGAACCTAAGCCCGCTGCAGTGGCAGGACAGTACAGCTCGTAAGTGCTGCACAGGGGGTCTGACCTCACCAGTCTAATTCCCAGGCTGGGGCTCTACCCTCCATGCTCTTCTGCTGTAGGTGAGAGAGGGTTGCTTTGCTACATATCCTCTTTGTTCTGCTCCTAATTCCACATTAGTCACTGCGATGTCAGCTACAGAGCCATGGGTGGGATGTTAAGACCCGGACTGTTGATCTCAGGCTCAGCTGCTGTTGGGGAACCTCACTGCCTGGAGCCGAGTCTGAGTTCCACTTGAGACACACGAGTGCAGGGCCTGTCTTTGGAGACATTCTTTTGGATATTTTCCTCTCTTTTTTTCAAGTGCTAAAATTAAAGTCCACCACAATGTGATTTCCTCCCCTTTCTCCATAAAAGCTTTTTACAGAGTTCAAGAGTGACGCTTCTTCTTGTCTAATAATAACAATTTAACTGACACATTTCTCTGTTTGCTTTTTCAGGAGCTTAGAGGTAATTTTAAAGCCCAGAGAGGTGGTGCTCTTGTTTTGGTTGAGGATCTGTGTGGATTGTTTGGTTGTTTTTATTGAAGCCTCTTGTTTAGAGTCAACAAGACCTCCTGAGGGGCCCTTATATTTAAAAGTTGGGCCAGAGGGATTATATTTTAGTCCTTGTTACTATATTTTGGAGGAACATTCTTCTAAGTCATATAGCACTCTGACCAGTTTGGTGTGATGAGGTAATCTGGGTTTGCTGTGCCACTGAATCTTTTCAAATGCCACAATGGAACAACTGTGCCATAGGTGTGCCATTAACCCATCGTGGGCAATGTTTGGTAGAACTCCCAGATTGATTCAAGATCAGGTTTGGAAGCAGGAGTGGCATCCACTTCCTAAACCATATGCTTCTGAAAGCTCTATGAACTTGTAGAAACGATGATAATTACAGAAAGGCTTTAGGCCTTTGTTTAGAGAGTTGTGCTCGACTCGATGGCAATAAACAACCACAACCTCAAGTTTGGATCACTAGAGAAATCACTGGTTTATAATGGAATTTAGTTATGAGGATGTTTTCATAGCCTCGGTTATAATAAAAATATTGGCAACAAGCTAACTGCCCATTATAAGGATTAAGTTAATAAAGTTAAATGAAGTGTTATATAAACATGAAACAGAATTGTTGTTAGGATTCATCGTTGGTGGAGTCGGCTGTGACTCATAGCAACCCTCTGATCCGCTGATTGAAGCCTTGCTCTGTCCTGCGCCATCCTCATGACCTCTGCCAGGCTTGAGCCCTCTGCTTCAGTCACTGCGTCCGTCCATCTCGTGGAGGGTCTCCCTCTCCTTCACCGACCCTCTACTTTTCTCAGCTTTATGTCCTTTTCCAAGGACTGCTGCCTCCTGACAATATGCCCAAATATAATGCCAACTGTTAAACAAAGGTTTTGTTTATGTGCAAAGGTTTTGGCACATAGCAGGGCTTCAGTCAAAAAAACCTTTGATCAACTTCTCCAAATATGTGAATACAACTACCTCTGCCATTTGCAAAGTATTTTTAGCTCTTGAATGAATGCGAGGAGAACAAAAGGGTTCATCCTGGAGAGGGTGAAACCAAACAGGTTCATCCTTGAGAGGGTGAAACTGGGCTGCTCCTTGGAGGCAAGGATTCTGAAGCTTTGTCTGACATACTTGGGGCATGTTATAAGGAGGGACCAGTCCATGGAGAGGGACATCATGTTTGAGAGAGTGGAGTGACAGTTCAGGAGAGGATGAGATGGATCGATTCTGTGATTGGGGTAATGGGAGTAGCTGTGTCAGAGGTGGTGAGGTTGGCACGGGATAGAGCAGGGTTTAGGGCTCTTGTATATAGGGGTTGCTATGAGTCACAAGCGACTCAACGGCACACAACAACAACAACAATAACAACAATAACTTTATTTCATCTCCATAGTAATCCCCAAACTAATTGTTGTGAAGTTATGAACAGAGAGAGTCGGTGACTTGTGCCAGGTTACATAGTGAGTGACAGGACGACTCTCTCAGCTTGTCACTTTCCCCCGTTGCAATCACCAAATCCCTCCTGCCCAAACCCGTTCCCTGCTCCGTGTCATGCCAATGACTCTAATGAGGACGCTACGTGTGTTATCACCCCAACAACAGAACTGTACAGAGAGGCACTTTTACTTGCTGACTGATAAACTTTTCTCTCTTTTGAAAGCGCTTTAGACATTTGGATGCAAAGAACAGTGAGCATCTGAATACAAGCAACAAACATCTGGCTATGGGACTGTGTACTGTGGCAGGATGCAAGAATTGCAAACACCCAGCTCTGTGGACGCAAACATCAGGAGACAGAGCAGCAGACATTTGGCAAGTGTAGTGGACACTGGGCTGAACATGTATCAAATCCATGGGTGCTTTGGGGTAGCAGCTCGCTGCCTTGATTGTTGGAGTGGGTGATTCTGTCTACTCTCTAGTATTTTTTTTTTTAATCAATTGTTGTGAGATCAACTCCTGTTGATGTGAATCAGAATAGCACTATGATCCATGGGGTGGGTTTTTAATTTTGTTTTTTACACTTCACACCCTTATGTGTCATTTTTTGTTCAGGACTCATGCTAATCTCTATATTGTTCTAATTTTTTTCCCCCAGTATGTTGTTGTTGTTTACCATTGAGTCAGAATCTACCCATAGCTGACCCTCCAGCAGGTTTCTAGAGGCAGTTAATTACACAGGAGGAGAATGCCTATCTTTTTCCCATGAAGCAGATGCTGGATTAGAACTGTGTGCCTTCGGGATTGCAGCGCAGCTCCTTACCACTAGGCCACCAGAGCTCCCTTTTTTTAGGATGTGTGCTGCCAAAGTGAGCACTCCTTAGGGTTTTTAATGGCTGGCTTTTGAGGAAGTAGATTTCTTCTTTCTTTCTTTCTTCCAAGGTGATTTGGGGGGGGGACTCAGACCAGCAACCTTTGGCTGGGGATTTTCCATTGACATCACTCAGGGACTCCTTCTAGATATTTAAGCACCAAATAATGTAGTCTTTTCAGAACAACATCCTTTGAGTCTTAGTGGGATGAACAAAGTATTTCCTCTCAGGTTGAGAAGTGCACATGGTCCCTATGTGGCAGAGTTTGTGCTTAACCACTAACCAAAAGGCTGGCAGTTTGAATCCACTCAGAGGCATCTGGGCAGGAAGACCTGATGATCCAGTAACTACCAAGAAAACCTTGTGGAACAGTTCTGCCCTAGCACATGGGGTTGCAAGGAGGTGGAATCAGAGGTGATGGTTTTTGTCTGGGTGGTTTTAGAAATGCAGAGAAGGGCCCAGGCTCCTCCACGCAGAGTCCCCTGTCCTCCCCTCCCTTGACACTGACCTGGCATGTGAACCATCCGGCAGTTGCAATTCTCCACGATGTAGCGTGTCTCACAGTCAATCCTACAGGCGGTGATGCTGTAAACAGGAAAGAAGTCGAGTCCCATCTCTGAGGAGCGGCACTCACCCCACGGTGGGGGCAGGTACGTGAGCTGCAAGAGAGGAAGGAGGGGCAGCAGTCAACATTGGTCAACATTGGGGGGTTGTTGCTGCTTCAGCCTCCACAGACTTAAGGTCTATCCAGTGATTTATCCAATCAACACAGAATTAGTAATCATACTATGCGGCAATTTAACTCCACTGCCTGACTCTCTATCTGGCTGCAATGCTAGTTTTCTTGCATTGACTACAGCCCACAGGCCACAGGCCTGGAGGCACTTCAGACTCGGAGATCCCCAGCGGTGTCACCGAGGCTGTGAATTTTCATGGTGGGAGACTTCCCATCTTTCTCTCAAGTTGTGACCGGGCTTTGATGTTGTCCCACAATAATGTGCATCCACCTGGACTCTGTGCATGACCTTATTTAGATGTAGGGTCTTTACAGAAGTAATCAGGATAAGATGAGGTTACACTGGATTAGTTCTTAACGAAGACTCACAACAACCCTACGAACAACAGATCAGAACCTTGCCCTGTTCTGCACTGTCTTCATAACTTCCACCACGCTCAAGCCCATGGCTGCAGTCACGTGTCAACCCATTTTGTTGAGGGTCTTCCTCTCTTTCGCTGACCCCCTATCATCTCCATCATGACGTCTTTTTTTCCAAGCCCCCTCCTGACAAAATGTCCAAAGTATATGAGACAGAGTTTCACCATCCTTGCCTCTAAGGAGCATCCTGGTAGCACATACTGGATTAAAGTGGGTCCTAAATCCAATATGGACAGCATCCTTATAGAAGGGGGTGGGGAAATGAGGCCCAACAGAGACCCACACGAAGAAAGACATGTGATGATAGAGGCCAAGGAACATCCAGGTTGATCAGCAGCCACTTGAATGCAGGAGAGCAGAAGGGAATAGCTTCTCCCCCAGAGCCTCTGAATCAACTTGCCAACACCTTTGATTTCAGATTCTAGCCTCCAGAACTGGGAGGGAAGAAATGCCCGGTGTTTCAAGTTACCCAACTTGTGGCACTGTTATGGCAGCCTTAGCAAACAAAGAGGCTACGGTCCCTTGAATAAAAAGCGAGCCAGTTCTCACCGAGTAGATTAACTCATAGTAACCCCGCATGTATCAGAGTAGAACTGTACTCTGTGGGTTTCTTTTCTTCTCAACTTTTTATTGAGATCTGGGTGAAAGTTCATGGAAAAATTCGTTTCCAGGCAATAATTCATACACATTGGATTTTGTGACGCTGATTGCAATTTCTACAGTGTAACTAACTTCCCATGTCCTCCCTATGTTTTCTATTTCCATTTACCCTTCTTTCTCATCCGTTCTTGACCTCTAAGCTTTATCCCTGGGCAAATGTTGCCCTTTTAATATTGTGTAGTTGATTGTTTTACTAAATATACTGTTCTCTGGTGTTACTGTTTATTTTATAAGTCCTATCATTTGGCTCTGGGAGCTCTGGTGGGCTAGTGGTAAAAGGCTCTGCTGCAATCCCAAAGGTATGCAGTTCAAATCCACCAGCTTCTCCACCGGAGAAAGATGGGCAGTCTCCTCCTGTGTGTCTTACCCACTGGAGTGTCAGCTATGAGTCAGTTCTGCCTCGACAGCACACAATAACAATAATCATTTGGCTGGAAGTTGAGCAATGGGAATTAGTTCAGGTCCAGGCTTGAAGGATATCTTAGGGGGTTCTGCCAGTCTCTATGAGACTAGTAAATGTTGTCTTTTTTATGATTCTGAGTTTTATTCCCCATTTCTCTTTTACTCTATCCCAGACTTCCTACTGGTGGGTGTCCTTTCGGAGTGGCCAGCAGTGGTAGTTGGACATCATCTAGTTGTGGTCTCAGGATTGTGGAGTCTGGGGCTTCAGAGGGTTTTCAACGGCTGATTTTTTTGAAAGGTGGATCACCAGGCACTTCTTCCACAGTGCTTCTAAGTGAACTTGAACCTCTAATCCTATAAATGCTGATCTCCTGGAAGTCTACTATTCATGCCTGTGTCACATTTTGTTATCTCACTCCTCTTGAAATGATCCAACAAAGTGGTATTCTCTTGACTTGGAACATTGGGATCCTAGACATAGACTTGGAGGATAAAATCTAGCAAAGGGTTCAAGAAAAAAACAAAACACCAAAACAACAACAAACAACATTTGGCATAATCAATCTTGCTTACGGCTCGAATCCCTGAAAAGAAGCAGATCTCAGGTTGTCATGTTATGGATGACACCATTTTGGGGCTAAAGACACTATTATTCTCAGGAGATCCAATGCCTACAAAATGCTCTTCTCACACCGTCATACTTGCCTGATGCGGCTGGGGAGGGTAAATGAGAGGGAACTGATGGCTGATGTACTCATCGTGCTCTAAGTCTCAAGCTGGATACTTCCCATCTATTTTTTCTTAAAGAATAATTTACATAAAATAAAACACAGCTTTTAAGTGTATAGTTCAAGGCAGTCTGACAAAAGCACACAACTGTGTAACCATGGTATCAGTCAAGATATAGACCAATTTTTTGTAATCATCCCAGAAAGTTCCTTTCTGCTCCTTTCCAATCAGGCAGCCGCCTGTCCAGGCAGTCCCAGTGTGAATTCTGTCACCTCAGAATGGCTTTTTAGGTTCTCAAACTTTATAGAAATGAAAGCTTACCCTGTGTTCTCTTTTGTATCTGGCTTCTTTTCCTCAGTTTCATGCTTATGAAATCCATTCATGTTGTGTGCATTGGTAGTTTATTCCTTTTAATCAATGGATAATTTTGCATATAGATACTGCAATTTGTTTGTCCACTGGTGTTATTGTTGTTGTTATATGCCGTCAAGTCACCTGTGACTCATAGAAACCTTATATATAACAGTCCTAAACCCTGCTCTATTCTGTGCCAATCTCACTGTCTCTGACACACCCACCCCTATATAGTACCCCAGTCACTGAATCAATCCACCTCATAGAGGGTCTTCCTTTCCTGCACTGTCCCTCCACCCTCCCAAGCATGATGTCCTTCTCCAAGGATTGGTCCATCTTTGCAACATGTCCAAAGTATGTCAGACGAATCCTCAGAATTCTTGCCTCCAAGGAGCAGAGTAGTTTAATCCTCTCTAGGATTAATCTGTTCATTCTCTTAGAAGTCCATGGTATATTCAATAATCTTCTCCAATATCATAGCTCAAAGACATCAATTCTCCTTCTACCCTCCCTAGTCATTGGCCAGATCTCTGACACATAACAAGTGACTGCAAAGACCATGACCTGTATCAGGCACACATTAGTTTCCAGAGAGACTCCGTTGCTCTTCAGTACTTTAGAGAGGTCCCTAACAGCAGACATTCCCATCACCACACATCTTTTAATTTCCTGGCTGCTGGTGCCAAGAGTGTTGACTATGGAGCCAAGCAAACTAAAGTTGTTAACAACATCAATTTCTTCACCATCCATCCTGATGCTGCCAATTGGCCCAGTGGTGAGAATCTTTGTCGTCTTGATATTGAGCTTCAATCCATATTGAAGGCTGCCGTCCTTGACCCTCTGCAGCAAGTGCTTCAGGTCCTCCTCAGTTTCAGCAAGCAGGGTTGTGTCATCTGCATAACGCAGGTTGGTGAACACTTGGATCATTTCCAGGTTTTGGTTATTATGGAGACAACTCTATAAACAGACATGTTTGAGTCTTTTTTAAAAATAGATATATTTTAATTTCTCTTGGATAAATAGCTAGAAGTAGAACAACTAGTTCATAAGATAGTTTTATCTTTTTAAGAAACTATGAAGCTATTGGCAAGAAAGAAGTTCAAGCTGCATTAAAGACACTGGCAAAAAAAAACCCAAGGCCCCAAGAATTGATAGAATACCAAGTGACATGTTTCAAGAAACAGATGCGGCCCTGGACATGTTCACCAGTCTATGCCAGGAAATTTGGAGGACAGATGCTTGGCTGACTGGAAGAGATCCATATTTGTTCTCATTTCCAGGAAAGATGATCCAATAGAATGTGGAAATTATAGAACAATATCATTAATATCACCCATAAGCAAAATATTGCTGGAAGTCATAAAAAAATGGCTAGAACAGTACATTGAAAAGTAACTGCCAGAAGTTCAAGCTGGGTTACAGGAGGCCATGGCACCAGGAACATCACTGCTGGTATTAGACAGATCCTGGCTGAAAGCAGAAAATACTAGAACAATGTCTGTTTGTGTTTTATTGACTCTGCAAATGCATTTGACTGTGTGGATCATAAAAACTATGATTAACATTGAGATGAGAAGAATGGGAATTCACAAATACTTATAACCACACAAAATCTTTATCTAGAATAAGAAACTGCTGTCTGAACAGAGCAAGGGAATGTGTCATGGTTTAAAAACAGTAAAGGTAAGCATAAGAGTTGTATTCTTTCTCCATATCTATTCAATCTGTACGCTGAGCAAATTACCTGAGGAGCCAGATTTTGTGAAGGAGAATGTGGCATCAGAATCGGAGGAAGACTCATTAGCAATCTGCTTTATGCAGATGACACAACCTTGCTTGCTGAAAGTGAGGACTTGAAATGCTCACTGCAGAACATCAAAGACTACAGCCTTCAATAGAGATTGCATCTCAACATCAAGAAGGCAAAAATCCTTACCACTGGACCAATATCATCTGTCATGATAGATGAAGGTTGAAACTGGCAATCATTTCATCTTACTTGGAAGCACAAATAACACCCTTGGTACCAGCAGTCAGGAGATCAGGAGACATACTGCATTGGACAAATCCACTGTCAGTGACCTCTCCAAATTACTGAGGAGTAATGATGCCAGTTTAAAGTGTTCCTGATTTAGGCCATAGTCTTTTCAATCACTTGCTATGCATTTGAGACCTGGATAATGAATAAAGATGACAGAAGGAGAACTGTGGGGCTAGAGAAGAGTACTAAATATTCCATGGACTGCCAAAAGAACAGATGTTTTGGAAAAAGTACAGCCAGAATGCTCTGTGGAGGCAAAGATGGCAAAGTTTCATCTCACATATTCTGAGCATGTTGCTAGGAGAGGCTATTTCTTA